TGACTCGATCTAGAACTACGTTTCATTGGATGTAATTTGTAGTTGTTGCAACCTCCCTCTTACAGTAGATGATCCGTATCTTCACCATCCTCTCGACTATCATCGCCGTTGCTAATGGTGCGGTGAGCTGCACGGTAGATTCTCATTGCCCAGTTGGAACCTGCAAATGCTCGGTTGGTAGATGTGAAGTTCCATTTTCTGCCATACCTTGCACACGAGGAAGACGAGAGTATTGTCCCTACCCTTCCTCCTGTCAATGCAGTCAAGGTATCTGCATATATTGAGTTATATGCTTGGTGACCATTGGTGCTATCAATTTTATAGAAGCCGTAGCGCGGCGTGATTCTGTCTTGTCCAGTCTATGTTGGGAAATTCCCAATGGGAATCGTCGATGTGAGTGATTCGAACATAATATGATCATCATATTGGGGATCCGTGACGCATCCGAGTCATACCTTACTTACTTTTAACAGAAGATTCATTGTTTTTTCGACGCGGCAGATATTTCATCGGAGGAGTTAATTGTGAAGTCTGTATCACGGATGCAGATTCTCGAATATTTTAGTGCTTCGAGTATGTACGCAAGCGTACTCCGCACTTACATTTTCAATTCTGGTCCGCTCAACAGTCACAGTCGTCGATATTAGTCGTAGCAGAGAGAGCGATGTTGAGTTTCACATGATTTAGTTGTCAATATATTGTCCCGGGAAGTCTATAGATCGTGTGGCACCGTTTTTGCCTCGGTGGGAAAGAAGGCGGGGAATAATATCGTCCACCTCAGGAGATAAGTGTGGTTGTAGAGGAGATAATTGCGCTGTTATTGGCCTGTAAAGGATATTATCTGATTCGTTCACAGTATGCCCCAGAGGTGCAAAAGCATATGCTGTTCTACCGGTCTTGAATCGGGTCACTCGATATATGCTTCAATCTTTATATTCTACTAAGTAAATCTATAACTTCGCGCCTTGTCTAACATCTGATGTTAGACAAGGCGCGAAGTTATAGATTTATATGATGTTAAACATCATATATCAACAGAAAGAGGAGCCTCCACAATGGTATCCCTTCATGTTTCAACCCCATATTTTGAGTATGGTTTCTAATTTCTGAACAATTTCGATACCCCGTTCAAAATCAACTCGGTAATCATTCCCAAGTTACCAAGTAAAATCTCCTAGAGTAATAACATATACGATCGCATTCACACAACACCTCATTCCGTTCTAGACGGAAACACCGCGCAAGGTGAACGATAGAAACTCGATTTTTCCTCAGAAGTCCTTCCCTGTGCGAGCGGTGCAAATCCTATCGATCAGATCGGCGACTCCTGAAGTAATGATACTTGTTACGCTTCCTCGAATTTGCCTCATGCAAGCATGGACCTTCACTGAATAAGGGAGCCGTCGATGTCTGGGCTTACGGATATTACTGCCTTGGATGTTGGGCCAACATTGTTGGCTCTTCGACCCTTTCACGAGGTATTGGCCCGCCCAAGATATCGACGGCGGGGATGTGTGCAATGGAACGATACTTCAAGTGAAGCGTGTGCGACCAGGCGTACCAAATCTAAAATTCCTCACCCCAGAGCGTGAGTTCGACGACGTCACAGAACGCATCCTGCCTGTGATTTGCTGCATCACTCGGAGGCTAACATCTAGGAACCCAATCCACCGAGTCGACTTCTATTTCCCATGAAACTATTCTTAAGAAACCTTGGCACGCGCCATACTCACGCTGCATGCCGCAGCACCACGTGAATTCGAACATTTCAAGACCAATCTCTGGTCATAGACTTTCAGTTCAAAGCATTCCTGAGAGAGCACCCGTTAGTTAGGATCGTAGAGTTCTATGTGTACACGGAGAATCTGCCAATTTCCACGGCTCGTTTAAATTTAGCTTTTTCATTTGCACCTCTATTCAGTAGGCAGGTCGCACCTGCGTGATTCCGTAAAAGAGCCACCGGTTGACTCACGTGGATCCGTCGGTGCGCTCCCCTGCCCATAGTTTGAGGTTTTGCTAACGGACCCTTTGAAAAGTTTTACAAGAGACACACTGACATGTGTGTTGCGGGATAGACCACGCTCTCCGCTGAGCTCGTCCAACGCGCATCCCAAGTTAGGGATTCCCAACATCCACCACTGTTGGGAAACTAAACCCAATCTCCCTTGGCCTGGCTGTCGTAGACAGGCAACCTGTGCGCCGCGCCGTCTGACGCACTGCGCCACCTTGTTCCAGTTGGGATCGTGAGCATGCGTGCAGAGCGTTCACTTAACTTTCGGACTGACGACAAGTATCTTGTTTATCTCTATGATAGTGACTCGATCTAGAACTACGTTTCATTGGATGTAATTTGTAGTTGTTGCAACCTCCCTCTTACAGTAGATGATCCGTATCTTCACCATCCTCTCGACTATCATCGCCGTTGCTAATGGTGCGGTGAGCTGCACGGTAGATTCTCATTGCCCAGTTGGAACCTGCAAATGCTCGGTTGGTAGATGTGAAGTTCCATTTTCTGCCATACCTTGCACACGAGGAAGACGAGAGTATTGTCCCTACCCTTCCTCCTGTCAATGCAGTCAAGGTATCTGCATATATTGAGTTATATGCTTGGTGACCATTGGTGCTATCAATTTTATAGAAGCCGTAGCGCGGCGTGATTCTGTCTTGTCCAGTCTATGTTGGGAAATTCCCAATGGGAATCGTCGATGTGAGTGATTCGAACATAATATGATCATCATATTGGGGATCCGTGACGCATCCGAGTCATACCTTACTTACTTTTAACAGAAGATTCATTGTTTTTTCGACGCGGCAGATATTTCATCGGAGGAGTTAATTGTGAAGTCTGTATCACGGATGCAGATTCTCGAATATTTTAGTGCTTCGAGTATGTACGCAAGCGTACTCCGCACTTACATTTTCAATTCTGGTCCGCTCAACAGTCACAGTCGTCGATATTAGTCGTAGCAGAGAGAGCGATGTTGAGTTTCACATGATTTAGTTGTCAATATTTTGTCCCGGGAAGTCTATAGATCGTGCGGCACCGTTTTTGCCCCGGTGGGAAAGAAGGCGGGGAATAATATCGTCCACCTCCGGAGATAAGTGTGGTTGTAGAGGAGATAATTGCGCTGTTATTGGCCTGTAAAGGATATTATCTGAATCGTTCACAGTATGCCCCAGAGGTACAAAAGCATATGCTGTTCTACCGGTCTTGAATACTTGTGTACTACAACCTATCGATATGAGACCACAAGATACCAAGCCAGGCTCAAATAGCATCACTTCCACCCTAAACACCCCAGCGTAGATCAATCGATACCAATCCCTTCCTTACAGACCGAGCGGAGCATGTAATGTCAGTGAGCGCATTTTCTGCACATTCCGAGTATTTCTCTACGACTACACCAATGGAACTTTCAAGACATATACCATTCGGAAGAGTGCAGGTTCTGTATCCTGCAGAGAATTCTAGAATACTCTCATCCCTGCTCTATAACGTGCATTGGTCAAAATTGATAATCAGAATCAGCTAAAAATAATATCAGAACAAATACATACTTGAGCAAGAAAGCAATTGGAAGAATTTCGATAAATGAAGTTTAACCTGAGGATGGTTTCTAATTTTCGAACAATTTCGATACCCCGTTGAAAATCAACTCGGTAATCATTCCCAAGTTACCAAGTAAAATCTCCTAGAGTAATAACAATGTTATTATAACATATACGATCGCATTCACACAACACCACATTCCGTTCTAGACGGAAACACCGCGCAAGGTGAGTGATAGAAACTCAATTTTTCCTCAGAAGTCCTTCCCTGTGCGAGCGGTGCAAATCCTATCGATCAGATCGGCGACTCCGGGAAAATCTTCTCGAGAATTGGTATTAACCTCAAAAGAGGCAATCGACTGAGATTGAAAACGTAACTACTTCATCATTTCCCGGTCATGTTTCCGATTTTTTCACTTCGCACTGTCATTTCCGGCTAACTGCATGCGAACATCCGATGCGTCACAACTATGTTGTCGGAAACATGACCGGAAAATGTTGTAGTTTCAATTCGGAACAAATTCCAAGATTATTATATCGACAACTTACTTAGTGAGTTCCCCCCACTGAGGATTTTTCCTATGCGTTAAAAATCGTAGACGAATTACACTACCTTTATTTGAGATATAGCATTTCCCATTGCAACGGGAACGTCCGCCTCAATTAGCATATCATAATCGTTCATCGCATCTCCGATACATGCAAGGCAAGCATCTAACTTCATCCGTATTATAATAACTTGAACCAAAGATACTCATTACATCCATATTTCTCCTTCAAAACTTTCACGCCTAATCCTTTGCTGACTCCTCGCGGAACGATATCCATTGCCATCGAAACCGACTGTGCAGCCACACAACCCATACATCTGGTCAAACGGAAGAGCGTCATGTTCTCGATCGAAAGGTCCCCGGTTCAAATCTACCATGATTACTTTGCAAAATCCTCCAACCTTTTACTCATGTCTTCCGCCATCGGATCTACCAGCGACATCACATGCATCTAGAAAGAGAAGAAAAATCGAAAGTTCCATAAAAACTATAACTTCTTACCACATGAATTGGCAAATTTTCTCTTCGAATCTTTTCCAACATTTTATCATACGATCCACACTCCTCCGGTATCGGATCGCCAAACCTGAGCAAGAATCACCTAAAATTTTTCCAGCGCCATACCATCCATCGCTCACTTCTGTAAACATCTACCACCCTATTATCCTCGTAGGGAGCCAATACGCGATCTCCACTATAACACAAAAGCATCACCGATTCGTCGTCTTTCAGTAGGGCAACTGTACCGACTATCTGGACAGGAAAAACTCTATCATAGAGTACATTGGAGTTTCACCCGTGATATGAAAAACGCTTGTGAAAAAAATATTTCACGACTACTGCATACCGCGAATATCGCGTTTCTCACAGAGTATTACGTCACTTCACGTAAAACCGGTGAAACTCCATTGAGCTCACAGTTGGTTTGAATCAGTGTTGGAGTGCATGCTTGCTTCCCTCAGCTGCGCTCAAGAGTTTCCAAGGCTATCTAGTCAGATTTTGCACTCGACTCGACTTAGGGTAGAAGATGTGTTGACTCGACATTCTTATTTTTGTACTAAATGTTTTAGGAAACTGTAGCCTCTCAAAACTGTCTTTGAAACGATAAAGGTCACGTACTGTACCATCTCAGTGAACCAGGATTATGAATAGCTTACCCGAAATTTTTCAATAACTCACCGAAATTTTTGAAAAGTTGAAAATTGCTCAACTACATGTGTTGGTGACCATATGAAAATTTTGGGAGATTCTCATCATTTTTTGTACACTCCTACCTAAATTCTTATATAAACTCCTATTATCAGTTTTAAGAAACTCCTGAACTCAGCTGCGAGGAGCGAGCATATATCCCTTCAACCAAGCCTTATTATTACATCAGCAATATCATGTTTCTTTTCAGCAGCCACTGCTCCTGTATGGTCATAGATAACGGAACCGTTGAGGTAAATTCCTGGACGAGAATATCTGCAGAAAAATACAGCATGCCGGGATAGAACCTGCGACCTCTTACAAATCAATGCCAGATCGCCCAAACAGTCTGCTAGTTGAAGCTCGGCATCTCCCTGTAGCCGGAACCACCGGACCTACGTAATGACGATGTTACAAAATTACGGTATGACATTATTACACCCATTCTGATCGGCTCTAATAATAGCATTTAGTGTTACGTCCGGTATGGTATGAAATGGAGATACTAAAGTGCCATCCATGTCAGCACATATGAGATCAACTTCACTCAAATCCACACATGACGACTCTTCCATCGATACTAAAGTCGGCTTCTGATTATCAGCAGATTCTGGCATGATGATGACGATGAACAAAAAACCCGCTCAAAATGGTCAGTCACCTGCAGGCGATTCAAAATGGAGCGGTATGAAAAATGTGACACACATTTACTACACACAGCGTGTGAACTAAGCTCCACCACATACTCTAAAGCCAATAATAGTGACAAATCTGTATGAAAATAATAGCAAAACTCCCATGGTAGGAAGTATCTGTCTTTCACGGGAGATTACACTCAGTTATAAAACAATGGAGTTTCACCTGTTTTACGTGAAGTGGCGTCGTAAAACTCGGTGAATAGCGCGATATTCGCGATGATATGCAATAGTCGTGAAATGCATTTTTCATATCGCGGGTGAAAATTGAGCTGACCATGTATGAAATACATGCTCGTTTTTGTTACAAAATTCCCAGTTCAAGAGTTACGACCAAGACCGTTCTCGCACAAATTCAACTACAACGTCAAATTACAACCCCAATCTGCTTTCCATACCGTATACGCTACGAAACATAAGATTACACCACAACTACAAGATTACCAACTAATCCAAAACTCTCAACCGCCACCCTCAGAGAGCGAGCGCACCACGAACCAGGTAGTCGTATCTCCCCTACTGTCATTTTACAACACCAATTCAAAATGTCCCAACACTCTGCTCAGTAGGTCTAGCTGCACTGTATGCCTTGTTACTGAAACCTGTGAACCGCCCTAAGTGATATGAAATTAAATTTGACACACGGAGTAAACAGTGTACAAAATATTGCTGAGTGGCAGCAGCAACACGTCAAACGAGATAAAAAAACACCTCAAAAACCCAACACCCTTCTCGCGAACTCAACCAAATACTCACAGAGTGAACAAGACTATGATGAGAAACACTGAGCATCAAATAAAACAACCATCTGATACCAAAACAGCATCGAAAACCTTCCTAACCGGCTGTATACTCATCCAACATAGTAGGTATTTATTCAAATCTTTTTTCCATCTCTCGAATTTTCCCCCTTTTTCGACACTAGAGCGCTCTGAGCATGAGCCGACGTATTCACATTAATGAAGTTAGCGATCGCCCCGATTATTTTACAGTACGTATCTAAACAAGAACGACAAGAAAAAAAACTTCGCTCCGCTAAAAAAATATCCAATTATTATTTCACCTCTAGCATTGCTATTTCTCCTATCGTAAAAAGCAGCCGCTAAAGGCAGCAAGAAGACGGGAACCCAAAAACAAAGTTCCATCAGATTACCATGCCTCGTCCTCTCCATCACCTAATCTTCATGCATTACAAATTACATACCACACCTTTGAAAAATCGTACTCGGAGACGACTGCCAGCCTGTAGGCTCTTATCATACAGGTTCCTAGTGGCTGCACTCATGTCGGGGTACTTCGAAAACTCCTCGCTGCCGAGTACAAGCGTCGGCGCTTGGATTCCTGAGAACTCAAATAACCTCCATCCCTCAGGGAGAACACACACATTGATCTTCAAGATGTTCGTGATTCAAAACTGGAAAATATAACATATCGAAAAATTATTATCACTAATAATAAGATCTAATATTTCCTAAATTCACTCAGTAATACTATGACCATGTATAGTGTACAAACATGCGAATTCTCAATTTCATAGTCAACGACTTTTTCAGATTTTTTTCCAATTTTACAATTTTTCATCGTATCGATGACGAAGGAATAGAGACAAGCATCCAAGGCTCGTAAAGATGATAACGCCCGAAGGATATAAGAACGACATATAATAGATATTCACTGTAAAATCGCCTTCGCCCAGATTCGAGCCTAGGTCGCTAGCAGCACATCCGACACCATTATCAACTCTACCAAACATCACGATTAACACCTTTCTTATGCGCCTCCGCAGGGAATCTAAACCCCTCAGAACCATTCCTCGGACTGACGTAAGTCCACGGATCCATCAGCACCGCACACGAAACACGCTTATCCTCAACTGCCTTCAGACCAACAGTTGTGCCTGCCAATACGACATATAGAAATTATCATTTCCAACTGCCCTTTCATTTCGATAGAATTACATTACTACGCATAAGCATAGCAACACCGAGGATCGACTCAGAATAGATAATACATTGAAAAAGTCTTCTGCAAATTTAAACATTGAAAACGTGCGCTCTAGAAATTTCACAGTTTAGATGCAATCAGAAAACTTCGAGTGTGAACGTTACAATGTAATCCATTGGTAATAGAACAAGACGATCTACATAACATTCCCTCCAACTCCTTACAGTATTCAGCAACAGTAGCGCCACCGAAGGAATACCCAACAAGGACGATACGATTCGGGTCTATCAACTTCGTGACTCGATTGAGCAAAGGGACTCCTGACTCCTTCCCAGAACCAATTGTGCACAGATATCTGAAAAATACTTACCCGAAATCATCAGCAACATTCAACTCTACTACTCGATCACTGATTTCATCTCATTTGCTCTCTGACGAACTTGCTGAGGACGAAAGTTCCTGGGGTACGGATTTTCCCTGGGATCCTACAAAAAAGCAACCACCAGGGATCGAACTCGGATGGGCGAGGCTGAACACTTTACCGGAATGTATGGTATTTCGCGGCCGTTCTCATCCATCGCCTCACAAGAGGACCCATCCTGATGATGAATCACCGCTACAATAGCTCCTCCAACGATCGCATCTAAAACGACTCATGCCAGAATCGAACCCGGAACCTCTCGATAGTCAACTGAGCGATCTACCACTCGACCAAATAAACCTTCTTACGTGTCAAGGTCGAGCACAGCAGAGCATTTTCATCCCCATTTCCAGTGAGGCCATGCGAAAAAACAACCAATGGTAGATCTCCCTCGGCTATAGGCTCCATATCGTCATAAGTAGAGTTCAGCTTGTACAACGACCAACCGCTGAAGAGATGACCAATCGCGTTGAAGAAATGCAAGATTGCAAGATTTCACCTGGGAATAAAATATCCTAGTAGCTTCACCATCCACTGCAAGAAACGGATGATAATTTGCATCACTTTGGAGCTCCTGAACAAGGCTCGAGCCACATCCAATTGACCGAACCTGAAAATATCAAAGAATGACGAGTACAGTAAACGACGATTAAGTACAATAACCCCAATATGGTTACGACGATTAAGTACAATAACCACAATATGGTTACGACGATTAAGTACAATAACCACAATATGGTTACGACGATTAAGTACAATAACCACAATATGGTTACGACGATTAAGGACAATAACCACAATATGGTTACGACGATTAAGTACAATAACCACAATATGGTTACGACGATTAAGTACAATAACCACAATATGGTTACGACGATTAAGGACAAAACCACAATATGGTTACGACGATTAAGTACAATAACCACAATATGGTTACGACGATTAAGTACAATAACCACAATATGGTTACGACGATTAAGTACAATAACCACAATATGGTTACGACGATTAAGTAGAATAACCACAATATGGTTACGACGATTAAGGACAATAACCACAATATGGTTACGACGATTAAGTACAATAACCACAATATGGTTACGACGATTAAACAATCAATTTACATGAAAAAAAACATGAAAGATGAATATATCTCTCTTTACGACACGTTATTTAATTTATTACTACAAAACATATACGACGAGAAATTGACCACCATCGAGTTCATATGCGTATTTTTGTACACTACGAACAAATTACCGTTTAGTTCAATAGCACGACACTACGAACAAATCTAATGAAAATTACTACTGATAATAAATCGACTAATTGGAGAGCATTCAGGCGATGATAATATTCACGAGAATACTCCATCTCGATGCATTACATGTGGCATAAAATTAGAAGACGACTCGAAGCGATTGGCAACTTTCACAAAGGGGCAATCGTCTGTATTTTTCATACAGAAATTATATATTTTATTAGACAGACATCACAAATTCAACATATATTTTTTATTTTTTTATACGCTATAAGAACCCAAAACTCCGCTGCTTACGCATATCTTGGCACATTCCTCATCCACGTAGTTTGGGTGTAACCACGTGTCACCCCCGCAGCTACCGGCGGGTAGAAGATGCGGCCCTCGACTCCACCTGGTACCCTATACTCGACACAACCAATGTTCTTATCAGAGGCGTCCTCGATGATGGATAAATGGCGAGCAAAAGTGACTGAACGCAGAGGCGGCAGCGGAGGCACGACACGTGTCATCTCTCCCCAGTAGTAAAACTAATATATTCAACTACTAGTGGGAAAATATATACAAGGTCACAATATACAAAATTTTGGGGGAAACTCTCAGTAGTTTTTGTACATTTCCATTCAAATTCGTATAATTAATGAGGAAACTCCTGAGCTCAGCTGAGGAAAGCAAACATATATTCCCACTCCAACAACCCCATAGATCAACAACGTCCAACATCTCGAAAACCATCCGTGGCCACTAGCTGCTCTTGTGCAAGTTGTGTCTCCCTCCCCTTGGAACGCCGACTTAACACAATAAATTCGACTGAATAGTTATATCATCAGCCTCGAATTTCAACACGACGCTTGGCTGAATCCTTTCCTCAGCTGAGCTCAGGAGTTTCCTAATTATATGAGGCTCACATATGAATTCGGGTAAGCGTGTTTAGAGAGCAATGATGATTTCCTCCCAGGATTCCCATATTATCAACAACACACTGGAAGCTGACCATATGCATATTTCCTCAGAGTGGAACTTCGTGACGTGGACGAATGTCACGATACACCTCGGTGTGGTATAGCTTTGAGACTTGACTCAGTTGGACCGATAGTAGCTACCTTTGGTAGTTGATCGAATATTCCGATGCGAAGGGAATACCTAGATAGTTTGAAACTGTCCTCGCCATTTCTCACTGTAAAGATCTGTGTATATACTCGCTCGCTTTAGAGTGAAACCGTGGCGTGTGATAATCAATTAAGATTATATTTTGCAGCATCCACACACTCCTGTGTAATTGGGTTATCCATCCATCATGGCTGTCGGTGATCAGAACAAACAAGGGGAATCAGTAGCTTGTTGAACAGTTCGTCAACAGAATTCAAAAACATACATGCCTGAGAACAGGAAAGCCACTCCATGACTATGTAGATATCAGTTCGAGAGTAACACCAATCTTTTGAATAATTTCAGTTGTGCGCATATGAGGAAACTTTAGTTACATCGTGGAGTGCACGCAAGCACATGTGTATGCGTGCATATTTTATTCGGGGTGAGGTCCAAACGTTGTTTTCGTTGAATCTCAACTGATATCTAACCTATCGCTATCTTCATTCATTTGTTTGACTGGTTAAGGCTTCACTTGTGCCTCGTATAATCCACCATGTTAAACGTGTATAATTCTGTTTACCTAATCACACTGTTGTTAAAATCACAGATTTAGTATTGTGATAGTAATTATTTCACCACTTCTGAAGAGCACCAAAGTTTGCCAACTTCTCATTGAAGTTAATCTATCGTATTAGCCAACGTTACACGATGATAAATTACGAGGAGGTTGAGGTCTGATTGGTAACTCTAGGCTGGCGGCGGTCAGACGGCGAACGCGAGCGAATTTGACAACACGTAAATGCATCGCGATAATGAAATAGTTTTTCTGTTCTTACATTCTTGGAAAGTGTACGACAGTATGAAATTTCTGAGAAAATTTTGGAAAATTCTCGTTGGTTTCTGAACTCCTGAGCTGATAAGGAAAAGCTAACATATATTCCCCCAACATTGTAGTGATTTAAATATATATTTCAAATACTAGTATCGGTATTATGGTTGAGCAACCTCTAGATATACTCCGTCACACTATAGCAACTAAGGCGTGGCCATCATTAACTCGCCACATGGGGCCCGAAGCCGACAAGATAATAAGATGCTTGGTCGACTCTAAGGTTAAATCGAGGAGAGCTGATGGTAGGTTGAAAAATATAATTAGTTTCACGTGGAGTAATATTCTGTGAAAAACGCGATATTCGCGGTGATAATATGCAGTAGTCGTGAAATATAATTTTTTCACTAGTGTTTTTTATATCACTAGGGTGAAGAAACTCCAATGAGTTCACAATCATGAAATTGGAAATATAATAAGTTTTTTTTCGTGAAATTGGGTGAAATACAACGAAACCTGTCGTACTAAGGTTGATGAAAATCTCATTTGCGACTCGTATAATCAACCATCTCAGACTTCGTGTATAGTTCTGTTTCCACGGACAAGATGTTGTAAAATAAAATTTTCGTGAATCTCATACGGCAGCGTATTGATTATTCGTATATTTTTCCAATTATTCTAATTTTTCCGGTAAATGTTTGGCAATCTTGATTATTCATATAATTTTTTTTTCAATTAATTTTAATTTTTCTGGTGAATTTTAGGCAATCCGTTGCTGTTCGTACCAGAAGCCGATTTGAATGTTTACAAAGATGCCTTGAAGAACTCAGCAGTTGGAGTGGAAGCGTTTCCTGGTGTACCGAAATCGACGAAAGACTTCGAAGAGATGGACTCAGCATTACTGGCGTTAGAGTTCGGCTCTTCGTATATGGTACCTGGCGCACGGTTCAACGAGATGTATGGCTGGGATAGGTACCGTAAGGGCGTGGGTTCGATCCCTGGGACGGTTAAATTTGCATTATTGTGATGGAAAGGAGATTAGTCGTGAATTATTTGCGCCGTAATTGTATATATATTTATATTGTAGGAAGACGGTGTGGGAAAATATGTATATGGTCAACCACATGTGTTGGTGAGAAAATTAAAATTTTGAAAAATTCTCATTGATTGCTGTACACTTAGTGGGGAAACTCTCAAGCTCAGCATAGAAAAGCGAACATATTTTTCCAACGCTGTAGGAAAATCTTCTGAAGGAGTCTCAAGTGAGATTTGAACCCGGGATCTCCCAAATTGTTGATATTCAACAGTTTTTGAAGTTTAATGATAAAAGTCATCCACGAAATACTATAGTGAACCAATGGTCGATCATTTTAGAGTGAATTTATCATAAAATCTTCGCTGTGCGTTGTGGAGATATCTTTGAGTATCTTTTCTTCTTCCTCAGCTATTTCATCACTCTTGGGTTGGTCCATTCATCGTCACCACCGAATACTGAGCTCCTTCGAATCGCCACGTCCATGTTGAGAAACCACGTGTATCAGGTGGAGAATTACGGCAAAGTTCTTAATGCCAATCGATCGTAATAATGCGGCGAGTTCTGTAGTGTTGGAGTAGGAATGTATATGTTGGCTTTTCTCATCAGTTGAGCTCAGAAGAGTTTACGTACGAATTCGGGTAGAAGTGGAATACAGGAATCAATAAGAATTTCCCGAAATTTTTCCCCTCGAAATTTTCACAAATGTCGTCATCTACGCATGTAGTTGATCATGTGCATATTCCCCCACGCCGCGGTTGTGTATGCGTGCTGATTCTACACTTAACGATTTCTTTTCTAGTCTATCAATATCTCGGGCAACTCCGCGGTATAGTGTTAACTGGTTTCATTTACAATTTTTTTCTGAAAAAAATCGGAAAATTTCCCGGTATTTGTGGAATCTTCAGGTATTTTCTGAATCGTGCGCAACCCCCTCTGTTATCGTCAACCCTCATGCTATTGCTACCGTACATTACAGACGATGATAAACTGGTAGTTTTAGGCAAAATCTTGCTCAATCTTGCATTTCCTCAACGGCAGGTTCAGCGAGCCACAGCGGCAATTGTGAAGGAATATGATACTGTGTGGAAGTCAACGCCGAGATACGATGAAATAACAGGCTTGTCGAAGTGGGAAAGTTTCTTAGCGGAGCGAAGCGTTTCACGAATACAATTTTCGTCGTAGATACGGTGGATCACCGGCAGCTCGATGTAGGGCTGTGGAACCGGGGCATTACGATTGGATGCTCACGTTAGAGGGAGGAGATCTCGAGAGAGCGGTATTAATAATGGGGGAATATGCGCATTGCGGAGCGAGCGGAGCATATACCGCAACAACAGGCGTGCATGCAGAATTATTCTGGCTCAACTACGGAGCGTAGGAGGCTATCAGATAGATCAAACGACTCCTCTAGATGCGGAGGTGTTGGGAAAATCGGAAAACTCGATTATGCGAACAGCTCGAAGAGATATGCACGAAAAACTTTAATGATGGAGAAGTGTCCTACCCGGGGATCGAACCGGGCTGGACCTATGTAAAACTCATTGATTGAGTCCATGGACGTGGACTCAGTGAGCTCCGCCCCTTCGTCACGAAGGCCTAGTGGTCAACTACATGTGTTAGTTATAATATTGAGGGTCGGATGAAATTTTGGGAAATTCTTGTTGGAGTTCTCTGCACACTTGTACCATAATTGGTATGTAAACTTGTATAGTGGGGAAACTCGTGAGCTCGGCTGAGAAGAACAAATACTCCTTCAACTTCAAAAATTGACTGAGAATGTTTCCAGATTTTTTTCAGAAAATTTCTGTTAAAAGTTTCCTACATGTCTATCTCGGTACTCCTGAATATTTCTAGTTGATGCTCAGGTCCAATCTGATATGGCCGTCCGTGAGTCGGGTCACGACACCACAGCGAGGTTGAGTCGATACGATGCATGTGATATGGCAACAGTCGATTTGAATTGTATCTTGTATAAGATAGAGCGAGATATGGCATGTAAGTATCATAATCGATCACGTGATCGATTTTGATTTCCCCCCTGTAGTTTTGAAAGAGCCATCTCGAGATTGGACGGCTCTTGCGGAAGCGCGAAAGTTGACGATATTGAGATTAATGTGAGGAGTGACTTGTAGAAGATATCGATCAAAGATATGCGTATCTTTTTGCACGCAGGTACATACCAGAAAGGAGTGCATTTTTCGACTACAACACGCGTAACGGGCAAGTGGACACATCGTTCTTGTCGGTGACGGGATTGGCATATCCTTTATGGTGCGGTGTGGTTGATGGGGATCGGCAACTTTCTAATGAGGTTGTTAACACACTGATGGGCTATCTTGGTCAACCTGGTGGTGTGGTATCGGACGATTTAAAAAACAATGAAAAAGGGTAAGATATTTTAGCGGAGCGAAGCTTTTATTATTTCGTTTTTTTGGTTACTGTTGTTGTTAGCAGTGTTGGTAAAATGTATGTTTTTGGTTTTCCCAGCTGAGCTCAGGAGTTTCCTTGCTCATTGTGGAGGCTTACGCGTGAATTCGCAGTGGCTCGAAATTTTCAGATTGTCACCAACACATGTAGTTGACCATGTGCATATTCTACCGCACTGGTGCAGTGTGGGTAATTTTATGAAAATTTTGAGGAAAATTCGGGAAATTCTCGTTGGTTTCTGTATATTTATATCCTAATTCGTATATAAACGCCTATTATAAGTGATTCAACTCCTGACTGAGTCCTAAGATCAGCTGAGGATAGCAAACATATATTCCAACACCACACTGGTGTAACCCCCAAAGAAATATCATCCTTTAGATGCGGGTATACTATGAATTTGATGAGTATCGTTTTTTCCACACTCCACACTGGTGTCGTTGTTGTTGTTGTTGTTGTCGTATATGTTGCTGTTGTTGTTGCTGCTGTTGTTGTATATGTTGTTGTTGCTGCTGTTGTTGTATATGTTATTGTTGTATATGGTGTTGATTTTAGATTCACCGGTCAGTGGGATTGGCCAGCTGGATGGGCACCTCATCAGATGATCACTTGGATGGGGCTTATGAGGTTGGGGTATCTTACACAAGCTCGAGATTTGGCATCTAGGTAGGTACATTGGGGAAAATCTTCATACTGCGATTTGGTATCTTTCCTCGTAGTGATATTTATCAACGTAGTGTTGGAGGAATATATGTTTGATTTCTTCAGCTGAGCTCGGGAGTTTCCATACGAGTATACGCGAATCGGAGTAGAAATGTACGGAGAGTAGTGAGAATTTCTCAAAGATTTCCCCGGAATTTTCACATTGTCACTAACACATGTAGTTTGTTATGTGCATATTTTCCCACTCGTTTTTTTCAGATGGGTTCGTTTGTGTTTGAAAACATTTCAAGTGTATGACTGTTTGCCTGAGAAGTTTGACGTGGTTCACTGCACCTCGAGAATCGACGTAGAATATGGCAATCAGTGCAGCGAAAAGAGAGTATTTCGATGGACTATAGCAAGTGTAACGA